GAATAATTACATATTGTAAGATTCTCATTAGCGTATTTCTCAGTTACTGTAGAAAGTGACGAATCTTAAGAACTAGTTACGAATAATCGCTTACGTTAGTGTAACAAGAAACAACAAGATGGAAGGGTAACAACCCTTTATATTCCAATAAGATTTAACCAAAATCCGTATTGCGGTACAATCAAGCGACACTTGGGCTTGAACTTAAGAGACTAAAAATAAACTAAAACTAACTTAACTAAAGGGGATATAGCCGAATCTATCAAGATTCTAATCGAGCTGGCCCATTAATTTCTATTGATGCGAACGAAGGGATCAAGGGCTGAGTACGGCCAGAGGTAATAACAGCTTGGAGAGAGAGAGCAGCCAAAAGGCAGAACGCGCGCAAATCAGAAACTCTGATTCTCTCTAACTCTGTAAGTAGACTTCGGTTTAAATACCGCTCTCCTCATTAGTTATTGAGAATGATTCCAAACTGGTTATGGCGAAGTAGTAAGTTGAAGTTAAGAATTTGACAGGAAAGGAACTTTGACTTAAAATTTAACTGTTAATAAAATTAACATAATCCTTACAATATAAATATCTTACGCTTTAAAACTTTTCCATAATTTGCGTAGCGTTCCTATTGTTAGTTTATTGTAGTTGTTTATATTTAAAATATTGCAAGAAATTATAACATTCGTGCCATGTTTTCTTGCAATCTGTATACCAGTGTGCTGCATGGGATTAATAGTGTCATTCCTGGCGAAGAAATAATAAGTAGTTTTTTAAGAAATCCCATCGCAAGAGTTTCTCGAATGACCTCTTTTTGGTCCTATCTGTATTTGAAAAGATTATTTCTGTTGAAATGTGTTTGTAATAGGACAGCGTTGTATCTCGTGTAATAAAATTAAAAGAAAAAATAGTTTACACTAAAATGCTACATAAGAAAGAGCCTACCCTAAATTCGTCGTTTCGGTGAAAATTTTCGAACATTTTTTTATTTAGTCATTTTATAGGCCATACATTTACGTTTCCAAAAATGCTTTATTTTTGTTTTTACGATAACTAGAAGGAAAGTTATAGTATAAAAAATAAACCGGAAGTGAATTTTTGGATGCCGGAAGTGGCATTAAATGTCGTAAGATGTAAAAATAAGTTTTAAACAACTATTTTTAATATAAACAATATAAACAGCGTAAAAGAATATCTTCACTGTTGACACTTGCTGATAAAAATGCCTACGTGGGAAGACTCGAACAAAATGAGTGTTAATACCTTTGGGACTTTTTTACTAAAGAAACTTTTGGTCCCTGAAAACCTGGTTAGGTGCACATATCTGTAATCAAGCTATTTAGGACTTTTACCTATTTTAGGTATAAGAATAGAATAAGTCCCTTATGTGAAAGCTACATGGGAAATACAAACAGCGAATTCAGAATCGAAACGCAATCTCACAGCAACAAGTTATCGAGAAAAATGCTAAAGAAAGGCAAAATTGTTAAAAATGAAGTAGAGAGGATCTAAGCTACAAAGAGAGAGTTTTAAAGGTCTAGTGGCTAAAAATTTTTGTGCTGATTAAATCTTTAAAGGTTTTCTGAGAAATTGTTGTTTTTCTTACTTTGACTGCGATACGTTTCTCAAAATGTATTAGAATACTGAAATGATATTGGACAAAATGTTTTATCACCTTGAGCTGTGTATGTAGCAAAATATGATCTTTGTATTATTTATTATTATGACAGTATTTTGAAGAAAAGAGCACTTTTTAAAAATTTTTGTTCCAAGTTTTGATATTTCAAAAAATTTTGTCAGTTTGAATATTTCAAAAATTTTTAAAGTACAGCAATCTTTGCTACAGAACACAGGGAGTATGTTATTATATACTGTGTAAAGATACTCAAGTATATTCATAGAATCTATTATAGGAGATTGGCCGTAAATGAAAATTTTCACCTAAAACTACAAATATTGCCTATATTAAAAATTATGAAACGTGCATAAAATCCCATTTAAATTCATAGTTTTATATCCCATCTTATTCAAAAACATGTGTGTTTAATTAAAAATTTTATGTATTTAAAAAAAAGTGCTTCGTATGTATAATTGCATTTCTCTGTCGGATTCTAGCATTTTAGACTGTGGAAAATTATTAACATTTATCCAATTCTCAAATAGTGCAAGAAAACTCCTTTATATTGTGTTAAAAACCTTTCATATTGTGTTTAGAACTATTATGTTCACAGTATATGTATGATTATTAAGGCACCTTTAATGTGTATTTGTTTATTATGCACTACTAAAGACTATAACTATTGCATTTACTACCCGCTATCGAATGCAATTAAACGATGATTTTCAGTGACATCTGTACGTAAGGACAGAATAAAGAACTCTTTTGCCCCAAATGAATTATAAAACTGACTTAAAATGGATTCAGAAAAGATGTTTTCATGGCATCTTGTACAAATGTATGTATCTCTCATAACTCAAAAACGAGTAGATTCAAAATTTTTTACTAAATTTGTACGACTGCTATAACATGTAGATGTGCATCTCATATTTTGGTTGCAATCGGCCGCACCAAAAGATATAAAATATAGGTAGCAGATGTAATTATTGAATTGTTATTAGACAAAATCTATTGAGAAAATGGCAACGGCTAATTTTGGATGCCGTTATTTTATAATTTTTTAACAAAATATGAGATGATATACGCTTGAAGTTTAATGGTACGATGCAATAAGTACTTTGTTATGTTTGTACGTTTACGATACGTTACGTGTAAGGTATTAAATTTTCTTAAATAAATGTTTGTCTTTTACAACCATTTTCGAGTGATTAATTAACTACAAAAGAATAAATATGTACATATCCACTTATACGGCTCGGATCTCAGTTTTTATTTTATAGTTTGTAAATTGTACATTTTTTTGCTTTAAAAATGATTAATATATGTTGTTCTTATCTTCCAGTTAAGGTTTTTATTCCTTTAGTAAATCTGTATGCAATAATTTTAGAATTAACAACAATTTTAAAATTGTTTAAGTGCCTTTAAGCCTAATAATTTTCTTGATGGCGGCCATTGCTTGTTTGCATCTGAAACAGCAGGATAGCTGATTTGTTGCCAATCTACTGAAACTTAGCTTCGCAACAACAAAGATGAAGCCTTCACATTTATTATTGCGAATTAAATCATGCTTAATCCTTTCTGGAATTTTTCGAGGAAGGAAATAGTGTTTAGATTTACTCGTAATTTTTAATAAGATATTTCAGTTTTATGTATTTTTGTTTGTCGGAGGAGAACTGAATAATGTAGAGGAATATCAATCGCTTGAACCTGTTCTTTTTTGTTTTGTTGGCTGAATTTTTTTATACACGTTCTACGTTATTATGTATTTGAATAGAAATGTGGCACGATTAGATAATTCTTTAAAATAATATAAATTTGTGCTTCTGTTCTAATTGAACGAATATAAAACGTTAAGGAACTAGCGCCAGGGTCGCTAGGTAAAAAAATGAGTGAATTTAAAAAGCATTATTGTATTGTGGTTTATGCGCTGTAGCGAAGTAGATTTAGTTCAACCAAAAGTTAAATGAAATGCAAGAAAAGGCGCCGTACAAGGACGTCTGTGGTGTATACAGAGTTTGTTTACTGTAATAGCCTATCTGTTACATCGAAGCTCGCAGAATAGTGATTAAGTCGTTCTGCACTCAGGTCTTTTGCGAGTGGGACAAAAACAAACTTTTAAACTTTAGTTTGGGCACGAAGTAAATGCCTTCTGCTGCTGGCGGAATTGCTGTTTTCCTAGAACTGTAAGTGAATTGTAAGTGTTTTTAAAGTAATATCTTACTTGGTGTTTATGTTTTCTATATCTTTCAATTTAATGACGTATTTGTATTTTATGTATTTTTGCCTTGCCGAGAGGAGACTGAATAATGACTGAGGAATATATCTGTAATGAAATTGGAGGAAATAAGTGTAAATAAAATGCTGGAAAAAAATGCGAATAATTTAATATTCCGTGAAAGGAAGTCATGTGATGTACACATCAGATTTTTTATCTCTCTCATCTTTGATTTATATTTAATCGTATTATTACCAATAAAGGATTTATTGAATAAATAAAGGATTTATCGCTGAAGCTGAATTACGCTAAACTGAGTTACGTGTTCAGTATCTACGCTGAAGAACAACGAGTTAAATGGCTTCGTTGGTTAGTAACTGTTATAATGCATTAAATATATTTTAATTAAAAAGCACGTCAGTTTAAAGAAAAAATACAGTGTACACAAATGCTAACTTCTAAACTGCAATATAAATTTAAAGTATTTAAATCTAATTAATCTGAATTATCAACAATTTAAAAGTAGTGCAGCTAAGCCTAATTTTTTTTTACCATAGCAGCATATTTGTTTACGTTTGAAACTTAGCAGAATAGTGGATTTGCTGCCAATCTAGAGAAACTAAGCTTCGCAACAACAAAGTAAGGTCTTTCTTTATTATTGCGAATTAAATTATGTTCAATCCATTCTGGAATTTTCATTAGTATTAAATTATATTTATATGGTTCGCATAGAGTCCACAAACATCATTTTACGCTCAGTGCATTTTGCGGTGAGACAAAGTAACTTCAGTTGTGCTGGAAAAACCTGCTTTCTTGCTCGCTGGTCGAATTGCTTGTTTTCGCGTAGAAACTTAATTTAATTGTAAAAAAAAAAAAAAAAAAAAAAAATATTTTTTTAACTGTGGGTTTAGTTTTTCTATATCTCAATTTTTAATAAAGGTATTTTGAGTTTTTATGTATTTTTACCTTGCCGAGAAGTGAGAAACTGAATATGACGAGGAAATATATGAATGAAATGGAGGAAATAAGTTTAAATAAAATGCTGAAAAAAATGCGAATAATTTAATATTCCGTGAAAGAAAGTCATGTGATGTACACATCAGATTTTTTATCTCTCTCATCTTTGATTTATATTTAATCGTATTAATATCAATAAAGGATTTTAAATGCATAAATAAATTTGCAGCGAATTTAATTTTATTCAGTTGAAAACAGTGATAGGCATAACTATTAAATTGATATTGTACTGCTATGTAGCTGAAATTTATTGTGCTATTTTGAACCAAATATTGCTTCTAAATTCAACAGATCTCTCTTAGCAACGCGTTGTTTATTCATGTACAGTTTTAATCTTATTGCACATCGGTAATGTTCTATTATTTAAATTAAGAGTATTAAATTTGAACACACTAGCTACAAAATTACAATTATAGTCATATTTTTCATATCGAATCCATGTAGGTTCTGTGCAGTACAAAGAAATTCGAAAGTTCCAGATGTTCGTAGCGTCACATTCGCCACAGCCTGATGCTCATATAGTTCAAAAAGCTTAATTTGTACATTCAAGTCAGGAAACTCTCTGGAAATATAAAACATTGTTGTTAAACGAATGTAAATACCAATATAAAAATATAATATAGTTTTATACCACAAAATATATACAAAGAAAAAAATCTGAAAGAGTTCAGATTTTTAACGATCACCCAAAAGGATTTGTTAATGATTTTACTTCCTTGTACGAAGTAAAAAGGAAGTATTGTAATCGCGAAAAGTTTCAGGCAGCATATTTCAACGAAAATATCCATTTTGACCGCTATCGAATGCAATTTAACGATGTTTTTGCGTGAAATCTCTGTAAGTAGAATAAAAACTCTTTTCCTTCAAAAAAAATTATAAACTGCTTTAAAATGAATTCTGAAGGAAAATTTTTCGTGGCGTCTGTACGAACGTATGTACGTACGTACGTATCTCGCATAACTCAAAAACGAAGTAGCTCAGAACGTTGAAATTTTGTATAGGGACTGCTATAAACATGTAGATGTGCACCTCGTATTTTAGTTGCAATCGGCCGCACCAAACGTATATAAATATATTTATAAATATATCCACTCTGTTACCCGGCTCAGTGATCTCAGTTTCTTTACTCTTATATGTTTGTAAATTGTTCATTTTTTGCTTTAAAAATGATTGAATTATGTTGTTTTTATCTTCCGGTTAAGGTTTTATGCCTTTAGTAAATCTGTATGCATATTTTTAGAATTATCAACAATTTTAAAAGTTGTTTAATTGCCGCTAAGCCTGTTTTTAATGGCGGCCATTGATGTTTACATTTGAAACAGGAGACTATGGATTTGTTGCCAATCTAGAGAAACTGAGCTTCGCAACAACAAAGATAACGCCCTTCATTTATTATTGCCAATTAAATCATGCTTGATCTTCTGGAATTTTTCGAGGAAAATAAGCGTTTAAGATTACTTCGTAAACTTTTTAATATAGATATTTTAAGTTTTTATGTATTTTTTCCTTGTCGCGAAGTGAAAACTGAATTAATTAATTAGAAGTACTCAATCGTCTGTGAAAAACTGTTTCTTTTTTGTTTGGTTTTTTGCTTAATTTCTTTTATACATAGTTCTAGCTTTATTATAGTATTTGAATAGAACATGTGGCAACGATTAGATAATTCTTTAAATGATATACATTTTGTGCATTCTGAGTTATAATATGAACGAAATATAAATACTGTTAAGTAAACCTAGCGCAGAGTGTCGCTATGGTAAACAAAGTGAATTTTAAAGAATGCATTTATTCTATTGTGGTTTATGCGCTGTCGGCGAAAGTAAATTTAATTCAATCCAATAAGTTTAAATGAAATGCAAGTAAAAATGCGTATAATTTAATATTCCGTACAAGGAAGTCATGTGCTGTACACATCAGATTTTTTAAATTAAGTTTAAGAGAAATATTTAAGCGCTAAGAAAAATTAAAATACTTAAAATTTAAGTCCATTAAATCTTTTAACTGAAATAATTTTCTGGTCATTCCTTGGGAAATTCAAATTCATGTTACATTTTTCTTAAGTATTAGTTGATGTTGAATAATTTTGTAAAAATTAAGTGGCTCAAACTTCATAACGCTCCAACTGACAAAAATCGATGTACGCATTCCGTTCATCCTAACAGAGACCGCTATGTTTTCTAATATGGTCTTCAATTACTAAGTACATTCTTCACAGAAAATACAGTTTTATATCTCTCGTTCTACTGAAGCGATTGACAACATTTAACTTGCGCTTTTCATGTCTCGCTTGCGCAACTTGGTATGCATATTAGATTTATATATAGCATTGTTCAAACAACGTTATTTTGACACAAAAATCGGACATTTTGTGAAATGACATACCGATATTTTTTCATATTTCGATTCCACTACTCGAATTATGCCAAAGTGCCAAGTTTTATAAAAATCGCTCGAGCAGTTTTTAACAAATGAGCTCTCAAAGTTTTAGCTCCTCATTGTTAATTGAATGTGGTATATATTTATTAATATCTCTTGTTTTATTAAACTTACTTGATTCCTTCTTCGAATGCGGAATTTAGGCTCAATCGGAATAAAATTCGCAGATATTTCGTGATTTGTTTTAAAAATTTGTATTTTTTAGTAGTTTTTGTAAATTTGCCGAAAAACGTTTTGAATTTGACTCATAAAATTTTTACGATCAAAAGTAGATGTGTTTCTGGCCATATCTGCGAACAATTACAGTGTTTTATTCAAAATTTCCTAGGACATACGTGAATTTACGTTTTGGCGCGTTTTGAAATTTGGCATATTTGTTACAAGCGATAGTAATGCCAAATGTGGTTTACGCATTTTGTTAAATTTATTTGGAAGAATGAAAAAACCACCTTTTTTTTCTCGCTCGTACCCGATGAAAAGGAAAGGAAAACAGGTTGTCATAAATTAAGAATTTCGCCAAGTGAATTATTCTTGCCGCAAACCAAAAAAAGTGCGCCAAGGTAAATTCTTTTAAATTTTCGGTCGGTTTTTGACAAAATTTTACAAAATTTAATATTTCGTCATAATTAGAGTCGTACAATCGAAATATGGAAACAAATCGGTTTTTCATTTCAAAAGAAATCCGAGTTTGTGTGAAAATACCTATGTTTGACAGTTATGTAAGGCGCGCTTTCGAGACATGAAAAACGCAAGTTGAATGTTGTCAATTGACAACATTTCAACTTATCCAGTAGAACGAGAGGTATAGAACTGCACCTTTTCCTTTTCGCAGAATGTAGGTACTGCTTTCATCCTAACAAATATTGCTGTTTTCTAATATGCGTCTTTAATTACTGTGTAAGAATCCCTTTTCATCCTAAAAAATACTGCTATGTTTTCTGATATGGTCTTCGATTACTGATATGGTTGCTTTCATCCGAACAAATATTGCTATGTTTTCTAATATGTATAATTGCTATGTTTTCCAATATGTATAATTGCTATGTTTTCTAATATGTATAATTGCTATGTTTTTAATATGTGTAATAATTATTGTAAGCGAATTAAATGTTAAGAAAGCAATCTTGATCAATCATACTTATAAATATTTTCGTGTGTTAACTGTTTTATACATTTTTAAAATTATTTCATAATAATCAATTATTATTGCTGCTTACATAATTGATTAATACATCAAAATTTTAACAAATTTCTTTTTAAATATTTGCATTGTTTTATTTATAACCGTAGTACCGAAAATAATTATTTATATTTTAGTAAACGCAGTCTAAAGTATAGAGAAAGTAAAAATTAAAACTAAAATTTAAGAAAAAACAATAAATATAAACCTGCTAACTATACTGATAAGAGGTCCAGGAATTGCGTGAGCTGTACAAGAAATGAGCACCTGCCCACCTTGAATAATTCGGATATCATCTTTAGCTGGTATTATCTGAGGCTGACCTAAACAAAAGAAATGCAGCATATCAAACCGAAAGAGAAACTTGCCAGTGATTGGTTAAAAAAAAGCGATTTTAGTTTGACGTAAATTTTAAATAAAACCCCATCAATTTTGAGGGCCAATCGGACATAGTTCCCTCTTCTTCAGGAGTAAAAAAAAAATTTTTTTTTTCCTCTTGAATAATTTTATTCAAAATTTATAGCAAACTAAGATTGCATTTTTATTTAATATTGTACAATTACCTATGTTAGACATACAATAACAAGAAAAATACAGATTAAAATAATATTTGAAAAGCAAAATTCAATTCCTGATTATTTATAGCTTTTACAGCTTCTTAGCTTCTACTATTTATTCTTCCTTTTCTACTATTATTCTTTCTTCTACTATTTGTTAATTACTTACTCCTCAAAAACAAATATAGTTGGTAAGTTAAATTAAAACTTACTATTTACTTGCCTTTTTAGTACTATTTAAGTATAATTTATGCATTATTTTTTATAGATAATGTCAGGTTTTTTTTTTTTTTTTTTTATATGCATAATTCGGTAGGGGAAGTTTGTCGGCAAGAGTTTCTAAATTCTTGGTTTTCTAAATTTGGTTTCTACTATTATTTATTTTTTATTGATTTAATCTAGTCTTTTAATTGCTGATTCTTGCGATTCCACTTGTTTGATTTCTTTTGGGATCACCAAATTTGGTATACTTTTTTGATTTTAACCTTGTTACAGGAGGAGAAGCACGAATAGAGTGATGAAGAGTTAGGTTGGAGGCAATTCCTTGATAAGTTGTCTTCTGGCGTCAAAATCATTCAATATGCATTTTAAAATAATTTTTTAGGTTAAATATTTTTGGAATTTTATATTTCTTCATGGATTTAATACTTGCACTTAATTTACATATGTTCAAGTTAAATGTATTGTCGATTAGTTAGAACAATAATAATATTTGTTTGTTGCATTAAATTTCAGGAAATTATCAACTTGAAATGCTTTTTACGAAAGAGATGTTTGTTAATTCAACTTTATCCTTGCAGCAATGGCTCAAGAGATTATTAAAATAAATTAACTTATCTTTTTAAGTATCTATGATATGATATTTGTAGTGTGCATTAGATGATATATCTCAACCATTTATCCACTTAAAAGTAATAGAAAGTTTTCCTCACATATATTGCTTAGCTAGTTTGAGTTAAAAATTTAGACGTTAAATGTTGAGTTAGGAATGAAATAGGCACGTCGTTAGTCCAGCCTCGAATTCCGCGAGCGGTGGCTGCATGATGTTTTCTTAATTTCGCAAGTGACGTGTATGCAATCTTAGATGCACAAGGAATAAGTAGGAGTAGCCGCGCAGTCCTGAACATGATAGTTCGGTCAAATTTCGAATAGGGGAACGGGCTGCATGTGTACTTTCGTATTTTACGCATGGTATCGTTAAGCAGTATTTCTGGATTCTATGTGAAAAAACCCGGCGAAAAACCGCTGAACACTGGTATTCAGACCAAATTTCAAATACCGATAAAGGGCTGTCTGTATGGGTAATTCGTGATTTTACGCATGTGTATCGTTTGCAGTATCTTCGGCTGATACGAGATCGAGCGGGCGGAGCCACGCAATATGCTGATCCTGTAGTCGATCCAATTTCGAATCGGGGAGCGGGCTGCCTCCATGTATGTTTCATGATTTTCCGCATGGGTAACGTGTATGCAGTATCTTTGGATGCATACGCGAATAAAAACGGGCGCAGCCGGGTAAAATCGTTGAGCACTGGTAGTTCGACGAACTTTCAAATAAAGGCCAACGGGCTGACTCTATGGGTGTTTTCATGATTTTCCGCATGCGTGTCGTGTATGCAGTATATTCGGTATGCATACTTAATTAAAGCGGGCGTAGCCCGCGCAAAACCGCTGGACACCGGTAGTTCGTTCCAACTTTCGAATTCCGGCCAGCGGGCTGGGTGCATGGGTGTTTTCGTGATTTAACGCATGTCTAACGTGTATGCAGTATCTTCTCGATGCATACGTGACTAAAACGGGGGACTAAAGCGTGACTACCGCTGGACACTGGTAGTTCGCTCTAACTTTCTAATCCCGACGAGCGGGGCTGGCTGAAAGGGTGTTTTCGTGATTTTCTGCATGTGTATCGTGTGTACAGTGTCTTCTGGAGGCATACGTGAATAAAGCGGAAGGAGCCCGCGCAAAGCCACTGACAACTGGTAGTTCGTTCCAACTTTCGAATACCGGCGAAATTGAACATGAGAACTCATGAACATTGAACAATGAAAAGCGGGCTTCAGCCCGCTCAGCTGGCGGGCTTGCCCGCTAGTACCACTTTAAAATATGTAATAGAACGTTTTCCTCACATAGTATTTGCTTTAGCTAGTTTGAGTTAAAAATTTAGACGTTAAAATGTTTAGTTAGGAATGAAATAGGCAACATTGCAGTTTTACAATTTTACATGAAATTACAAAAAATCTCATTGTAAATAATTATCCACATTAAATTTAAAATCCATATACTTCATGTGAATACACAGTGCGAATATACATGGGTTTCCACAGTAGACATGAATGCGTAAGAACTATAACAATAAATTAAGGCCGAGTGGTAAAATCGCTGAACACTGGTAGTTCTGACTTGGGTTCAGTTCCAAGCGAAAGGGCTGGCTGCATGGTTTTATTCGTGGTCTTTCCCTTGTGAAACGTGTATACGAGCCAGTTTGCCTTAGAAAGTTCTCTACGACGGCATCCTTTCCCTTAGGCAGATATCCCTGGTGTGCTTTGCTGTAATCTACCAAGCAAACCAATAAATTAAATGTAATTTGATTTAAAAAAAGACTGCGTACGATAAAAAGTGGTTTCGTCAAATATCTGAATATGAGGGGAAAAAGGTGAAGAGTCTTAAGAGACTGAAAAAAATTTCTTTATCGAATTGATAAATGACAATAACGATCTCACCACAACAATGAAAAATTACAATCCCAGTCATTATTGTTAAAAGAAAGTTTTCACATTAAACTGATAGAGATTAGTTTGTTTGAAGTTTAACTATATAATCCGAAAAGGAAGGAATGAAGATGGAAACAAAACTTTAAAATTTGTGTAACTTCCGGGTTAAAAGGAAGCCACTTAATTCCAGTAATCCATTGTGGCGTTTTCGATTTCTGGGATGGGAAAACATTAGACATGTTGTTTTTTCAAAATTTATTTTAAATTTTAACAGTTAAATTTCATGTTAAATTAATATCAGAAATAACGTTCAAATGACAGAGTCATACCATTTCTTCTACCGAGGTATAAATCTCCACAGACAAGCGAACACAACCTACCATCCAAGCCTCTCAGAACAATTTCATTTACTTTCTTTTTGTTCTTTAACTAGTAACGAAATTATAGCAGGGAAGAAGTCTAGTCTTTTTTTTTTCTCAGTATTTTCTCTTCCGTTTAAAGAGACTACTCACCGAGTAGAAAGCACACAGAATTTTTTCCTCATGGAAAAAAAAAAAAAATCCGTTAATTGCAAATGCATGCTGTAATACACTGACTACTAATAAGTATTTGGACACCTGTGATAGAAAAGAAAAACTAACTTTATTCAAAATCAATAGTTGGTAGAGCCTCCTCGAGAGGTAATTACAGCGTGCACCCTCCGGGGCATACTTTCCACAAATCTTTGTATGACAGCTAGTGGTATTTTCTTTCACTCGGCTTGGAGAAGGTATAGAAGTTCCTTCACCGATTTTGCACGGGTAGTGCACCCCTGAATTCGGCGATGCAACTCGTCCCAGAGGTTCTCGATAGGGTTCAGGTCTGGACTCTGGCTAGGCCAGTCCATTCGATGAACTCCATTGGCACCATACCAAGCCTTGGTTAACGTCGAAACATGACAACTGGCATTGTCGTCCTGAAAGTAACAGGGCTCCAACCTGTAAAACTGCCACAACGTAGGAAGCACGTTGTCATCCAAAATAGTGCAGTAGGCATCGGAGATGAGCTTGATGGAGCATGAATGGGGACCAAGGGTCCCAGCCCATACCAGGAAAAACACCCCCAGACCATAATTTCACCTCCGCCGAACTTGACTGTTGGCACAATGCATTCTGGCAGGAGACGTTCTCCAGATAGACGTCAGACCCAGACCCTGCCATCCGAACGGTAAAGGGTCAACCATGATTCGTCACTCCAAAGAACCCGTTTCCACTGATCTACGGTCCAATTTCGATGTGTTTTGCACCCCATTAACCGAGCAGCGCGGTTGGACTTTGTGATCAAAGGCTTATGGGCAGCAGTACGACCATGAAAACCAAGCAGATGTGCTTCCTTACGGATGGTATTCATTGAAACAATACTCCCGGATGCCTGTTGAAACTCTTCGCGGATGAGGGCAATCGGTTGGGTGCGGTTCTTCCGAATTTCTCTGGACAGCACTCGTCGGTCTCTATCCTCCAGTTTCGTTTGGTCTGCCGACTCGGAGCACATTCCGACAATCACCGCTCACCTTCCACTTCTTAATCACATAGGCCACTGTCGATTTTGGGTACTTGAGATCGCTAGATATGTCCCTTAAGGATCGGCCACATTTGTGATACCCGATAATTACACCTTTCTCGAAATCAGAGAGCTCCGAACTGCGAGGCATCTTGCATGCGACTAAAGCCGAAGCTGTTTTCTACACGATATATACCGGCGGAGTCCGTGACGTACCTTAGGACTGCAGATATCGTCATTTGCATAGGTGTGCAAATACTTATTGGTAGTCAGTGTAGCACAGCTAAGTCCCTCCCTTTATTGGGGGCGAGGACTCTAGGAAAAGTTCAGATTATTCCCTAAATTCCTCTTTTTGGGACACGTGAATGCCAATTAATTGATAAAAAAAAATACATAAGTAATCACAAATAACTCTGTGTTAAGCACCATAGATTAAAATAACATTTTATGTTCAGGTCAGTGTAAAAATATAGTGCAAATCCTGAACCCAAAACAGTTAACAAATAGGCTTATTAGAAATGTTTCCTGCACATTTAAAACATGGTTTTATTGTCACCATATAATAAAACAGTACGCATATATTAACAACTAACTTTATTATACCGTAAACATACACAATATTACAGTTTCTGAAAATAAGTACTCTTCAAAATGCATACCTAAAACATAATATTGATTTTATGCATTTATCCTGGCTCAAAGGAAAAGCCTTGTGGATATTATTTATACTAAATCTTGGATATGATTTCTTTGCGGAGATATGCTATTTTGCCACCGATAAATTATGGCTGTGGGATCGACGAATTCGGGGATGGAAAAAACATTAAAGGGGTTCTATTTTCAGAATTTATTTTAAAGCTTTGTAGTGAGATTGTAAGGATCTTAAGTTTTACTAACGTTTATTTTATTTTAAATCTTTACTATCACTTCTTATTTTCTACTTCCGGCCAGAATTAAAAGCTTTAACTTATTTATGCAAATTTGTCTGGCGAACGCCAAGTACTTAAGTTGTGGCTTTTTGCCAAGCAAGAGAGAGGAAGGAGCTAATAGAAGCAGGCCGCTTGCCATAGTAGTTTTACTCGGTTGCTGGTTGCCTTCAAGGCCAGAGGTTTAATCCTCTTGATAATTTTAAACGTATTAGTGTTAGCAGTTCTCTGTACTACATACGGCTTTTAATAGTATACGGCCAATCTTGGAGTAGGCACCTGTTTGATTAATCCAAAGTTAAGTTTAGTTAGCGTTTAGTTAATATTTTTATATTCTTACGTTCAGACCACAAGTGGTTGGTCTCTGTATTCCGAAGTCCGGAAATCATTGTAAAGAGAGAAAAATAAGGGTTTCGTATATCCTTCCTGTGTGTATTGTCTACTTCCCAAATTTATTGAACATAGCTTTAGTAAGCTCCCTGTTCCGAGTCAGGACATTTAATGTTCCCAAAGCAAGTAAGGAGGAGCACAGAACCTGATAAGATTAGGTAATTTTTTGGAAGCAGGCAAGATGAAAAATTATGCAACGCCTTCGCCGGGAATCGAACCACGGACTTCTCAATTACACGCCGAGCGTGCAGACCACTACACCACGAAGGCTCGCTAAAAAGGCGGGAGAAAAACCTTATATACTACCCCTTTTAAAGGGCGACTGGGGTTTTTATGGGACCTAATGGCCAAATGCTGAGTGAGGAGACTCATCATCCAACACTCTTTTAGTTCGGGCGCCATTGTAGAGACATTATATAATTATTGGAAGCAGGATAGCTGAAAAATTACGCAACGCCTTCGCCGGGAATCGAACCACGGACCTCTTAATTACGCGCTTAGCGTGCAGACCACTACACCACGAAGGGTCGCTAAGAAGGCGGGAGAAATACCTTATAGCTTGTAGAGTACCTCACTTTGGAATTCTAAGTCATTGTTGGAAGTGAGGAATCTAAGAACTGATAAGCGAATAATCGCTTGCGTTCGGTGACAAGAAACAACAAGGTAGAAGGGTAACTAACCCTTTATTATTGAAATAAGATTTAACAAACTCCGCCTGGGAGTGTACAAGCAAAGCCCGCACTTGGACTTGAACTAAAAAGACTAAGAATTAAACTAAAACTAAGATTAACTAAATAAGTATAGCCAAAGCTATCAAGGTTCAAATCGAGTTGGGCCCTTAACCTATTTTACTACGAAGCTTAGCAAGGGCCTGAGTACGGCCGAGCGTAAAAACAACTTTGAGAGAGAGAGCGCGGCCAAAAAGGTAGACGCGCGTAGTTCAGAAACTCTGATTCTCTCTCTGTCTCAGTAAGTAACTTCGTGGTTTAAATACCGCTCCTCCTCATTAAATATTCAGCAAGATTCCAAAACTACGTTCTGGCCGGAAGTAGTAAGTTGAAGTTAAGAATTTGACAGGAAAGGAACTTTCACTTAAAATTTAACTGTTAATAAAATTAACATAATCCTTACAAGCTTAATAATTAAATTTACTGTTTAAATCTGTGTTAGAAATAATGATGAAAGGAACAAAGTCACAGCATTTCTTTTGCAGAGGTATAAATCTTCACTGACGCGGGAGCGCGTCGTATCATCCCTTCCTCTCGGAATGCTCTCATTTAGCCTCTTTTTGCTCTTTAACGAGCAACGGAAACACAGAAGGGGAGAAATTCTATTACTTTCTTTTCCATTCAGGGACACTGTCCATCGGCTAACGAACAGACGAGTTTCTTTTTCCTCATAGAACAGAAACCTCGTTAATTGCTAACATATATTAATTTAGATAATCATATTTTTTTTTTCTTAATACTAACATATATGTTGTAATGACATTGCATTAAATTAAATGTTCTTTAAATATAGTAGGAATAATATTTCAACCCCCTCCAAAAAAATGAATTGAAAATATCGGAGAGAAAATGACTGGACTGATTTTCGTTGTTCTCGTTATTTTCAATGACATCATTCCATAAATACACGTGACATAAAAAAACGCATTACCCCATTTGCCGAATTTTCGATTGACATCTTGGTAGTACCATAGGGAAGTACCGAAAGTTTTTTAAACTTACTCTCATTACAGTAGAGACCTGTAAAGAATCCAACACAGGTACATGACCCATCGACACGATTGCATTGCCCACCGTTATAGCAGTTGCATGTCTCGCGGCAATTCACACCGTAAGTGTTTGGCAGGCACTCTAGAAAGATCGTATGCAGTTTATAGTATATATCATTTTACTGTTTTAGTGAATAAATTTGAGAATTATTGAAGAAATTATAAACTATTGTAGAACTATAAATTATAGAATTATCATAAAATATTATCTAAACGAAATATATATATATATATTTGTATTTTGTGTGTTAATTTGAATTTTGGTGACGGAGTTGTTTGCTCCACGGTAATCTACGCTTTTTCAAAACCATTTGATAATAAAACTGCTCTGATGAGCTGATTCGAATTTCGGTCTAACCCTTAGAAAATCCTAAGCTTTTGCTTAGGATTTTGCTGTATGTTTCAAATACCGAAACGACCGTCCCCATCCATAACCCGTCCACTAACCCTTTGAGGCACAGTGTGTCCGGTCTGGACACACCTAAAAATTTCCTTCTGTACGCACAGAAAATCTGAATGAAAAAGGATTAAGAGGTTACTATAGGTTACTCCGAACCTTCTTTATTTATAGTAGGTGGCAGCTCAACACAAACCAGTTCATATATTTTAGCCATGTTTAGTTTTTTTAAGACCCTCATTTTTCAAAGAAATCTTCCAGATTTTTTTAGGGTATAAAAGGAATTGTTTGAAAAGAAATTTCTATGTTATTTTTTGGCTGCATGCTAATCTCCTTATTCTATATTAGTTTTAAATTTTTACCTTAAAATCTTGCCTAAAATCAAACGGCGAACCCTAGGTGTGCCCAGACAGGTCTCACCGATCATCTAGGACAACTGAGAGTCTGTATTCTTTGTTTCTCCGCATCTCATCGGTCAATTCATTGACAACAATGCTCGTTTCAGCACTCTCTTCGAAGCTCTATTCAATAAGTGTGTCAGTTTGGGCACACCCACAGAATTAAAACGAAACGTGCTATCTTCACAAAAGTTTACTTGTGTATTCCTCTAGGCCTAATTAGAGTGCATAAATTTTTTTATCAAAACTCCAACTTTAAAAGGTAGCGTGCCGGAAAGGGTTAACGAACTAATGTCCCAATTATATTGTGTTCCGGCTACGCGGGACTGAACGTCGAAAGAAACAGTTCTCAGTACCCGCACATTTCCAGGAAACCCACGTAGCTAGGTTACTATTTTCACTTACTACAAAGACTTGAACGCCAAACAGTAATCGATTATCCCTCAGAATAGGATCACGTGATACTTCAGAAGCAGAACTTTTCTGTGATTGGTTAATCTCTACCCTTGACAGAGCTCCAGCCGAGACATTTTCGGTGAGGTATGAAAAAATCCTGCGTAGCCGCTACATCATTTCCGTAATGAGGCGGAACTTCGCTTCCAGCAGGGCCTTTTTTTCTAGGAATCCTCCCGTTTAAACCAGTGCTACCAGAATCTCGTTCAGAAAAGTCTTGTCTAGCAGGAACTGCCGTTAGAAGTGATAACCTCTTAAGAGGTGTGAAGATTTCAAATGATATCCGTTCTACTTCCTAACAAAGAAGCTCCATTAGCCTTTTAGGACAAGCTGTCTGAATTAAACTGGTGCAATGCATTTAGGGAAACTACTGCATACCTTAGGGGGGAAGAAAGAAAACAACATCGTAATCTCGGCTGTTTCGGGCGGTTGTGGTCATTTGAAAGAAATGCCTTCTCGGATGTTTCGATTTTCAAAGGGTTAAAATAAAGACTAACTTAGCGTTTGAGAGACTTTTCTCGCATAATTTTATTCTTTTTTTCAGTTTCAAATTGCGTTCATAATTTAAGAAAAGTGCTATAATTTTCAAAAAACAAAATTTGGACATTGTGATGGTACCTTGCATCTATTTATTCTGTTCAAATAACAGTGTATAATGTACAAAACTATCCATGCAACTAGAATTATACGGTTGGGGCAAACATGATGTAATCCATGAAAAGACAAGCAGGTTATTAAAACTTGATAGCAATTAGTCCTGTTATTCAGCAATATAGGTCCAGAGGCATTACATATTATTACGATATATAAGGCTATTTGTCTATAATTCAGGACAATTTTTCGGAATGCTAAATTTCGCTGGATAGCGTGTAACGTCTCGTTTAAATTTTTTACCTTTCGCTCAAACGACCACGACTGCCCGAAACGACCGAGAATGCGATGTTTTCCCTATTCCTAAGTTATGCAGTAACAGGTGCAATTTCCCAAAGTGCATTATATCAGTTTATTGCAGGCAGCTTGTCCGAAAAGGCTAATGGAAACTTCTTTGTTAGGAAGTAGAAAGGATGTCATTAAAAATCGTCACTCCTCTTTGTGCGTTAAGGGACGGGGAGGGGATGAAACGGAAGGGAGGGGTAATGGACGGAGACGGGTTTTTCGATATTTTAAGCATACAGGTTAGCGAAGGCTTCTTTTACTAAGGGTTAATCCTTTATCTTTAAGTCTTTGATTTAAGCCATAACTTTTATTTGACTTAAATAAAACAGTCCTTTACACTCTCTCCCTGGTTACAAGACATAGCGATAATTCGCTTTACGTCTTATGACTTCTCGTACATTTGATGCTACCAATGAATCCGAGACTCTATAAGCATATGGAATTCCGAGCTTGTTTGACTTGGAAAATATCTGAATATATGACAGCTCAAACGAAGATTAACAGTATGCTGTCATTCTCCATAAAACATTCACTTAGCACAAGCAACATTACTGTATTTAAAAGTAGACTTTGACAGATATGAGAGGATTGGCACACTTGTCATTAAGATATCACATAACACGTTGTATGATGTCGATGACGTATTGTGGGGAAATTTAAGTGCTGGAATGGTGTTAAGAAATTAGGTAAAAGAAGCCAAGCAGATTTTCATTCCTGAATGTCTCAAAGCTGCAGGATAGTACACTCTTAGTCATACCAATGCCGGTTTCTATAAAGGAAAAGTATCTAAAACAGTTTTTTATGTCATTTCCAGGTTCTGTCATTTCAAGAAACATCTATGTGTGAAAGTACAATCTCACTCTCCACTTAAGTTTGCGGAATCTAGTACGTTTTGCCAAGCATGGAATGGTAACTAGATCTACTTAAGGTTCGTACCTTGCGAATTCTCGGACAGGCTTGAAGATGAACACAGCAGGGAAAGAGTGTAAAAGACTCTTTTATTTATCACAAACTATATAACAGAAGGCATAAACTCACTAGCTTACACAAAACGCCCACCACTTGCCGTGAGAACTTAAAAGTTAATTTAACAATAAATCTAAAATGTAAAAATGTGGTGTTAGACTACACAGTTCAATTTAATCTAACAGGCTGACTCAGAAACGTACACCGGCGATATACTAACTAGACGGCCAGTAGCCACTACTAAGATTAACAGCTGGTGGACAAAATAGCAAACGTGAGCTTCACAAGCGAAATCACACTCTGCCTAACCTTTTCGTTCCAACAGTTTATATACTCTCGTTCACCAGCTTCATTTATATCCTGGCGAGGAAGTACGAAGGGAAATAAGAGAATTCAGGAAAGGCTCAAAAATTAAAATAACTTAGGTTAAATTAACACGCCTAACAAATGTTAATTTAGAAGTTAAACAACAAAAAAATCAGAGTTACATTTGCAAATTATCACAGGACACTTTCGATGGTTTTACCGAGCCATCATAACTCATACAATCACAAAATGGCGAACACACTACGTGGAGAAGAATTGCAGCAATTCTTATTTAACCCTTTCCGGCACGCTACCTTTTAAAATCGGGGTTTTAATTTTTAAAAAAAAGGCAGGCAGTCTAATTAGGCCTACAGGAGTACGCAAGTAAAATTCTTTGAAGATAGCACTTATCGTTTTAATTCTGTGGGCGTGCCCAAAGTGATTGAATAGAGCTTCGAAAAGAGTGCTGAAACGAGCCTTGTTGTCCATGAACTGACCGATGAGATGCGGAGAAACAAAGAATACAGACTCTAAGTTGTCCTAGAGGATCGGTGAGCCCATCGCCGGAAAGGGTTAAATAAGAATTGCTGCAATAAGAATTGCTGCGCACACCTAGGGTTCGCCGTTTGATTTTAGGCAAAATTCCAAGGTACAAATTTAAAACTAATATAGAATAAGGAGATTAGCATGCAGCCAAAAAAATAACATAGAAATTTCTTTTCAAACAATTGCTTTTATACCCTAAAAAAATCTGGAAGATTTCTTTGAAAAATGAGGGTCTTAAAAAGCTAGACATGGCTAAAATATATGAACTGGTTTGTGTTGAGCTGCCATCTACTATAAATAAAGAATGTTCAGAGTAACCTATAAATCCTTTTTCATTCAGATTTTCTGTGCGTACAGAAGGAAATTTTTCGGTGTGCCACAAAGGGTTAATCTTATCACTATATCTTATCTCGTTCATTTGCACTTTGGCATCTGAGGTTGATGGTTCGGTAAAACCCTCGAAACTTGTCCTGTGAAAATTTGCAAATATAACGCTGGTTTTTGTTGCATGACTTCGAGATTAGTTAAAATAACTGTTAGTAAAACTAAGTAGGACTCTACAGCTTTACCGGAAATTGTTATAAAGTAACTGGTATCCAGTGTTGCAGTCTCAGACATCATAGTCGATGATTCTCAATAAGAGTTTGCGAAATTCTCAATGCACTTGAGGCATTGCTTAGTATTATTTAGCATTCTTGCGATCAGACAAGTATTGTTATTGTAATAGGTCTAAAATATGTTGTTTGCTGTTAACAGTATTATTAACTGTTAACCGCAAACGAGAGCTTTCCCATTCTAGAAGATTTAATGCGTTCGGATAAAACGTACAGAGGCTGTTCGCACATTTTTTAGACGATTTTGGTAAGAGGTAATAAAAAATCGTTTGCTGCAAAAGAAGTAATTGCAGTTGTACTATAATTTTAAAAGTCAAAATTATCGTCTGTGGCTTGAAAGTTTTGTTTGGATTCAAAATGGCCAATTTAAGAAAGCAGTGGTTCGAAGGCTACATTCACGCTCTTTCCGAAAAGAAATAGGCATACTCCGTTATCCAAAAACGATGTGAGAGTCATGTTTTTGTGATATCTAAAGCGTCGATAGGTAATAATCATCAACAAGAAAGGAAACAAACTTCAAATTGGAGCCTCAAGTGGGACAAGAATTCCAAACAAGTATCCAAGGAAAAAACGGACATCTTCCACTATCGCAAAGGTGCGTTATTTCATGTTAAAAGAAAATCCCCCTAGTCAAAGGACAATTTCAAAATCATTGAAATGCTCGGTGTCCACTGTAAAACGTTGATTTAAATCTTAAGAAAGCGAAAAAACGCAATGTGAATCGTCTTCTTCCAAAGCATATCGCTCAACGCAGGACACGCTGCAGAATTCTATATGAGAAACACTTATCCAAAGAAAAAAGGAAAACAATTGTCACAATAGATGAAGAATGAGTGTATTTAAATGATTGTAACAAAAAAGAGCCATTTATTATTATAAAAGAAGAGAAAAAATTTGAAGTACATGGTTCAAAGAATCGAAAGAAAGTTTATCTAAGGAATTCATGATTGTTGCTGGTTTTTCTTATAATGGCAAGTTAAAAATAAGGAGAGTGCAAAAAAATGTCAAGATTAACTCCAAATACCATCAGGAACATATTTTATCGCGAATTTTCTGAATGAATACCATCGCTTTACCCACAGTGCCATCCATCTGTGAGACTCCATCAGGATAAAGCTAGCAGTGACACATTAAAATCCACTGTGAATTTCCTAAAAGAAATGGAACAAAAAACTGGTAGCAAGACCATACCCTTCACTGATATCCCTACTCAATCTCTCCATGTGTCACGTATGGATTTTTCTGCTTTCGGACTTTTAAAAACTGCATTATCCAAACGTTGTCCCAAAACCCTAACAAGACTCTGGAAAGCTGTTCGGGAGGAATGGGATAGAATACCTCTTCTGCCACTTCAAAAGGCATTATTATCCTGGAAATTGCGTTGTCGAAAGATAGTTCAGAATAAGGGATGTCAATTAGAACATTTCAAATACAAGAATGTTATGTAATTTAGTTTTGTGAATACAAAATACATCGTCTAAAAAATGTGTGAACAGCCTCTGTAGAAGATCCATGATTTGAATCCTGATTAAGGTGCAATTGTTTTTCTTGCTTTTCGCTTTTCTTGCTCGAAATTATCTTATGTATTAGCCTCGAGAATATGTTTAGTTTCGACAGTGGCATTCGAACTGAAATGTGGTGGACGATGAGTCGTCACCTTTTGAATTTAGATTTTAGACTAATTGTCTGAAACAATTTTAATTTTGCTGCGGTATGATACTTACGCTTCTGACAATTCTGCCCCGTGTATCCTTCCTCGCAAAGACCATCACAGAAGCCCGTTTTCTTGTCGCAAGGAGTAGTTGAATTTTCGTGACAATGACAGATCGAAGCACAATTTCGTCCAAAGGTTCCTGGGGGACATTCTGTAAGAAACTGTACAATCAAAGTAGAGATACAGAGAGGAACTTTCTTTGGTTAAACGTCACAAACCCAACACAGATTTTTCTACGTCAAGTACAACGTTAAGTATTATATATAAAAAGGACGCACAAAAGCTTAGTAACATAAATATATTAGGGTTTTTGTGTCTCTGAGACTGTCGGTCGAGTATCTGAGACCATTGAGCTTTTGGTACTTCATCAAGGGTTCGAATGTCTGCGAGTGTACAATCTATCTTCGTGCAAGCAAGCTATCTTCGTGAAAGTTTTCATAATTTATCCAGTGTGAAACCCAACCAATTTTCCTCAGAAAATTCTCCATGAAAGCATACTTTTTCTTAGATAGATAATATTCATGTACTTTGCTACAGCTTACTAAAACACTCAGTTCTTTTAATATACAAAATTAAATATAAATGAATAAAAAACTCTAAAACCTTTCAGATTTTATATTACGATCAAAGGTGCTTTTTTTAATGTTTTTTTGTTTTGCTTTTATTTATTGAAAATCATGTTCTTCGCACTTAAACCATAAAAATTCAATTCAACAGCAATATCGCAAAATCATTTTAAATTGAGCACATCTTTAAAATTCCTATACACAGACTCGCGCGCTGGAGGTAAAACTGTTTTTACTTCCTTGTACGAAGTAAAAAGGAAGTATTGTATTCGCGAAAAGTTTCAGGCAGCATATTTCAACGAAAATATCCATTTTGACCGCTTTCGAATGCAATTCAACGCTGTTTTTTGCGTAATATCTGTATGTAAGAACAGAATAAAACACTCTTTACCTCCAAAAAATATATAAACCTGCTTTAAAATGAATTCTGAAGAGAATTTTTCGTGGCGTCTGTACGTATCTCGCATAACTCAAAAACGAGTAGCCTCAGAACGTTGAAATTTTGTATATAGGACTCCTATAACATGTAGATGTGCACTTCGTATTTTGGTTGCAATCGGCTCAGCCAAACGTATATAAATATATTTATATATATATCCACTCTGTTACCCGGCTCAGTGATCTCAGTTTCTTGACTCTTACATGTTTGTAAATTGTCCATTTTTTGCTTTAAAAGTGATTGAATTATGTTGTTCTTATCTTCCGGTTAAGGTTTTTATGGATTTAGTAAATCTGTATGCAATATTTTTTAGAATTATACACAATTTTAAAGTTGTTTATGTGCCCCTAAGCCTATAATTTTTTCATGGCGGCCATTGCTTCTTTACATTTGAAACAGCAGAATAGTGGATTTGTTGCCAATCTAGAGAAACTTATCTTCGCAACAACAAAGATAACGCCTTCATTTATTGTTGCGAATTAAATCATGCTTAATCCTTTCTGGAATTTTTTCGAGGAAATAAGTGTTTAAGATTTACTTCGTAATTTTTAATACAGATATTTGGAGTTTTTATGTATTTTTGCCTTGTCGCGAAGTGACAACTGAATTAATTCAATGACGGAATTTTGGACGAAAGTAATAAAAAAACAAAAACAAAAAAAAAAAAAAAAAAAAAAATCTGATGTGTACACCATATGACTTCCTCCTACGGAATATTAAATTATATGCATTTTTCTTGCATTTCATTTAAACTTATTGGATTGAATTAAATCTACTTCCCCGACAGCGCATAAACCACAATAGAATAAATGCATTCTTTAAAATTCACTCTTGTATTTCTTTACCATAGCGACACTCTGGCGCTAGATTCACTTAAAAGTATTAATAATTATATAACAGTTAACTTATATATTTCTTTCATATTATAACTCATAATGCATAAAATTTATATCATTTAATGAATAGAATTATCTAATCGTTGCCACATGTTCTAGTCAAATACTATAATAAAGCTAGAACGATGTATAAAAGAAATTAAGCAAACAAACAAAAAAGAAACAGTTTTTCACAGACGTTCGAGTTTTTCACATTCAATTAATTCAGTTACATAAAAACTCAAAATATCTATATTAAAAATTACGAAGTAAATCTTAAACACTTATTTCCTCGAAAAAATTCCAGAAAGGATTAAGCATGATTTAATTGGCAACAATAAATGAAATCGTTTTCTTTGTTGTTGCGAAGCTACGTTTCTCTAGATTGGCAACAAATCCACTAGTCTGCTGTTTCAAATGTAAACAATGGCCGCCATCAAGAAAAGGATTAGGCTTAGCGGCACTTAAGCAACTTTAAAATTGTTGATAATTCTAAAAATATTGCATAGAGATTTACTAAAGGCATAGAGATTTACTAAAGGATTTACTAAAGGCCGGAAGATAAGAACAACATAATTCAATGATTTTTAAAGCAAAAAATGTAGAATTTACAAACATATAAGAGTGAAGAAACTGAGATCACTGAGCCGGGTAACAGAGTGGATATATATATAAATATATTTATATACGTTGGGCGGGGCCGATTGCAACCAAAATACGAAGTGCACATCTACATGTTATAGGAGTCCTATATACAAAATTTAAACGTTCTGAGGCTACTCGTTTTGGAGTTATGCGAGATACGTACGTACATCCGTTCGTACAGACGCCACGAAAAATTCTCTTCAGAATTCATTTTAAAGCAGTTTTATAATTTTTTTTTTTGGAGGAAAAGAGTCTTTTATTCTGTCCTTACGTACAGATATCACGCAAAAACATCGTTAAATTGCATTCGATAGCGGTCAAAATGGATATTTTCGTTGAAATATGCTGCCTGAAACTTTTCGCGATCACAATACTTCCTTTTTACTTCGTACAAGGAAGTAAAAAGGAGAGAGAGGACGAAAGGGGACATTGAGGGCAAGGGGACTTTTGACCCTGGATGTCAGACGGGAAGCATATTTTGCAAGTGCACATCTGTGTAACCACCGAGGGAGTGGCTTCTAGGATGGACCAATGGGAATATAGTAATATTTCTGTTATGTCACATGACCTTTCGCGTGCTTGAAGTTTGAAGCAAGATGGTTGAAAATATTTTGTCACGCGATTTTCTGTACAAAAGCATCGTCGATTTCTTCTGAAAATTTTCATGGCGAAGTTAGATCAACTATAAGAAATTGTGAAGATTTCACTACCTGGTTGAAAGAATTTGAAATAAATACAAACACATGTTGGATACTCCGCAAAAGTATCCATGTGAAAATTATTTAATAAGTTGTAAATAAAATAAAGAAAGAAATGTGTAATAAACAATGAGCCCAAATGTTATCTTTACATAAAAGTATGCCTATGAGAAAAATATTTACATCAATTATATATGTAAATAGGAGTCAGCACTTTTTATTGCAGCAGTCTGCATGATAAAGATGTCCTATAATAATAGCCAATGCAGAATTTTATTCAAAGTGAATTTCACTAATTTGCATTCGTATTCATTAAGTGTGTTAAATTTCACATTCAGTAACTGCTCACTTTTAAATGTACTGTTTACATAAGAAATACTCATCAAACAGAATGAATTTATCTTAATTCACAACGAATGTATTCAATTTATTCACATGTAACTTTTAATGTTAACAATGATATAATCAAATCAAACACAATATGTATTCTGAATCTTATACTTTAAAAACCAAAAGAATGCAAGCACTGAAATAAGTAAACACTAGATTCATTGTAACACTTCCAGTCCTTCTCAGCTCAATTAAAATATATATATATACGCTTGAATTCTCTTAATGCACAGGTGTTAGTAAATGTGTAATATTCAAGGCTAATGGTAACTTAATTTTTTCGATGTAAAGAGCGATAATATGCTGTAAACTTCAATCCAGATATTAATGCGTGCTAAAAATCGCGAAAGTGAAATGTCCGCGATTAATTAAACTCATAAAAACGAAAGATCTACGAGATTTTCTACTATTATGTCATACATTTATAACTGCGAAACAAAAGCAAATTAAAACATAAACTTTCGCTCATATGCATGAAGATTTAGCTTCACAAGAGCGATAGAAGCTCATTGGTCTATTTTCGAAACCCCTCCCCTCAGTGGCTACGCTGATGTGCACTTGTGAAATATGCAGACGGGAAGGTCCGATTTTTTTGTGGCTGAAGGGCGATTGCCATTTTTTTGTTATGCATAGATTATTTTCTCATCCGGCGTAGACAATGCCGAACTTACCTACTAAGGTTATTTTAAGTAGAAAAAATGCAAACATTTTCGTTTAACTTCTCTAGATTAGTTGTATGCAACAAAGGGTTAATAAATGGCAGAAGACTATTCTTGAACCAAATACCGCTTCAGATGCCGACGTGTTCGTTACACTTCTTCACGTCGCATTTCCGAAAAGGTTGTTTTCCAAAATGCATCATTGCAATTTGAACATTCCCGACTTTGTGGAAAAATAATACATTCTTGCAAAACTTTCACAGATCTTTCTTAGTTTGCCAGGAAACCTCATAATCGCATATTTCAAAATTCAGCTGAAGACCAAAAATATCGCAGTTTGCCTCTGGAGCTTCTAATGCAACCATAGCAGCGTGTACGAAAATGGCGACATTGCTAATTCAAACTTACAGCTGTCGATATGTTTAGCTCAGGATTTCTTAAACGTTTTTCAGTCGCGACCCCTTTTTATCACAAAGATTTTTTTCGCGACCCCCAGGACCCCATAGGTATTGCGCAAATCCGACATACGCGTGGGTGAACTACAATATAATATTGCAGTTTTAGGTCGTTAACTTTAATTTATAATTTATGACATGGAACAATGTGAAAATTTTAAATAAGTAACAGACGAAGTGAAAGCATCACGTGCAAAGCAAGGAAAATGAACGTTTATAATTTAAAAAGAATTCGTCGAAACGTTTTCGTGGTTTTTTTTTTTTTTTTTTTTTTTTTTTTTTTTTCTCCTGTATTGTCTTATCTTTACCTATTTTCAGATACATTGTGTAAAAATATTTCGTCATTGTAAAATTATGCCTGTAAGTTTTAAAGAAATATCAAAACTGCTAAAATTTTCACCGACCCTCTTGGGGGTCGCGACCACAATTTAAGAGACCCTGGTTTAGCTGAAGAAATTTTATGCACATGGTTCCCACAATTTGCCTATTTCTACCGATGTGGCTGCGATAATCCCAAAGTACCGCAAAGTATCGACTTGTTTGAATATAAAAGGTGATTATATAAGCAAAATAATATACCTGTGTAGTTGTTAAGAAACCCTGGTTTAGCTGAAGAAATTTTATGCACATGGTTTCCACAATTTGGCTATTTCTACCAAGGTGGTTGCGATAATCCCAAGTACCGAAAAGTATCAACTTGTTTGAATATAAAAGGTGATTATATAAGCAAAATAATATACCTGTTTAGTTGTTAAGAAACCCTGGTTTAGCTGAAGAAATTTTATGCACATGGTTCCCACAATTTGGCTATTTCTACCGAGGTGGTTGTGATAATCCAAAGTACCGAAAAGTATCAACTTGTTTGAATATAAAAGGTGATTATATAAGCAAAATAATATACCTGTTTGACAAGCAACTCCTGTCCAACCGGCTTCGCATCCATAATAACAAAAACCTTCCGCATCACAGTTACGACTACCTCCTTCACAGTGACACGTCAGTGTGCAGTTTTTTCCAGAACGGTTTTTTGGACAGGCTACATAACATATTAAAAAAAGTAAAGTTTGGTGCACAGAAAATTAGAAACAATAAATATTAGGTTTCTAAAGAATTAAAGCATTTCTTCCTGATATTGTTCCTTGGCGCTATGGTTAAGACTCTGATTCAGAACACTGAAAACCTTGTGTTCGGCTGCGAGCAATACTACTATTTTCTTATACACAATGTCTCTACAAAAATCCAAATTCATAAATTTCAGGATTTGAAGAAAACAACTTTACCTTTATCTAAGCATCTACATACACTGCGGAAAAAAAATTGAGACAGTTTTATGTCTCCCGTTCTACTGGGCCGTTTGACGAAATTCAAATTGCGTTTTTCATGTCTCGAAAGAGCGACTTAGGATATATATTAGATTTATATATAGCATTGTTTTAAGGTATCTGCCTACGTTAAAAAAACGATTTCGGCGAAAAAATTCGAGTTTTTTTTAATTGCCCAATTTGAACGGTCAGTTTTGTAGGATTCCGAAAATGGTTCATCTTTACGTTTGTCATAATTAGAAGATAAGATATAGCCAATTAACTGCACTGGGAGTGAAAGCAGAAAGACCGGAAGTGCCATTTAAAAGGCTCAACTCAAAGGTAAACAATGTTGTTATCCGTGGTTTTATTTATTTTTTTTTTTTTTTTTTTTTTTTTTTTTACCTGTTTGTGTGTAAAAATTGTGCTAAAACATTTCATTTTAATTCTGGGTACTTTTTTTTGTTTCTGGCAATAATTATTTGCCTTAATTTTTTGAACTGGGACTGGCAACATTGCGGTTTTTTTAACTAGGGTCTGGCAACATTGCGATTAGGTATAAAGACTATGTTGCTGGGTTTCCTACACGCATATATAGCAGTTTTAATTTTTAATTCATTGGGTATTATCTTGGATTACTTAAAAATCCTGTGTTTGAACATTTAGGCATATCAATTGAACAAGAAATGATTAAAAATTACTTTGGAATTGATAACGAAAGAATACAGAACTCGAAACGTCATTCGTCGCTCATTTCGAAAATAGCCAGAAAAAAATTAATATCAAATAGCAAATCAAAATTACTTAAGTATAAAGATATGGAGGGTGTGATGTACAAATGTGGAGAATTTTAAATGTGTAAATACAACAGAACAGTTTTCTGTTAATGTGTGTGTGTAATGCGTTTTCTGGAAAACTAATTTTTCTAGTGTTTTTACATACAAGAAATGTAATTACTCAAAATGTTCTAAAAGTATCTCTATTAAATTTCACTAAAGTGTTTTCTATATTATTTACTAGGTTTTAAGCTACAATCTAAGTTATATTTATTAATTTGATTGTTTTATAAGTATTTCTATATAAAACGATAAGAAATATTTTACAAAAAAACTTTGTTTTTTCATGCAATTACACAGTAAATTGCAGTAAATTTTAGAAATATCATAAACATTTTAGTTCATAACACAGATGAATATTGTAGTGGTATACAGTATAAATAAAATTGAAATGTATGCTGTGGGAAAAAATATACGACATTTAACGTAAGTCTTAAATTCTCCTAAAAATGTGCATAAAATTGCATATATTTCAAAAATTTATGAAACTATTCCTAAAAATTTACCCATTTTCATGATTTGATGTCACATTTTGACTAAAATATATATTTCATCAGAATTCTATGTTTTTAAAAAAAGTGCTCCGAACGTATAGGTTAATATAGGTATTTTGACACAAAAGCGGACTTTTTCTGAAATGGCATGCCAATATTTATATATCGATATCCATATATCGATTCTACGACTCAAATTATTCCAGAGTTCCAAGTTTTTAAAAAACGTGCGTGTACTCTCAAATGCTCCTTAATGTTAATTGAATGTGATATATATTTACTAATATCTTTTTTTTTATTAAACTTACTTGATTCATTCTTCCAGAATTCGAAATTTGGGCTTAATCCAAATAATTCGCACATTTGTAATTATTTATTGTTAAAATTTGTATTTTTAAATATTTTTTATAAATTTTTCGAAAAACATTTTGAATTATGACCTATAAAATATTTACCATCATCTTAAAGTGGATGTATTTCTAAGTATATATGCAAAAAGTACAGTTTTTTAATTCAAAATTTCCTAGGATATATGTGAATTTACATACTGGCGAGTTTCCAAATTTGGCATACTTGTTGTAAGCGATAATAACGCCAAATGTCGTTTATGAACTTTGTTAAAATTATATGAAATAATGAACGATTATTTTTTTTCGCCCGTCTACAATGAAAAAAAGGAAAGGAAAATACGTTGCTATAAATTAAGAAGTTCGCCCAGTGAATTATTCTCGGCGCAAGCTGAAAAAATGCGCCAAGATAAATTTTTGAATTTCTCCTTAAATTTCACGCCGAATTTTAGAGAATTTAATGTTTGGGCATAATTTGAGTGGTAGAATCTGTGCAGCTCCTAATCTGATTGTAAATAAATAAATAAATATCGATTTGTGCATACATATGCACATCAGTACTTCGTATCCATACATGAAAATCTAAAACTACCTTATTTTAATATGCCAATATGCATGTACTCAAGCATGCAGGAAAACCATAGTCTCTTATAAATCAAAGGACAGCACCCCGCTGGGCAATCGGAAATTTCGATTGTCGGATTTGAAACCGGAATTTTTAAACATACTTCAAAAAATACGTTCAAAATTATAGCGACCATTTGCTACAAAGGAGACACCTTCAGAACGATGCCACGTCATAAAGCTATCAAATTCTTATATCAGATGGTCTCTGCTCAAGAGAGAATGCAAACTGAAGTTTCACTACCGTGCTGAAGCAATCAGCTAACCGAAACCGGATTTGAATCCCAGAAAAAGCATGGTGATTGTAAATGTATAATGGCTTACTTCAATCCCATCGAGCGGAATGAACGCCTTTAGCCGGTCATGAGACTTTTTGTCACTTAGTCGACTATAGTTTAAAATATTTTGCTTCCTTAATTTCTTTAATAATACAGATATCATCTTAATGAATAGAATTTTATGAAAATGGAAGAACAAGCAAATAATAATAAAATTTAGTTAATAAAAGCTGTTTAAATACAGGTCCTCATGAGCAGATCGAAAATATCATGCTACTCAGTGTGTTAAAATATTATTACTTTTTTTTCTGGCACCAGTTGTTACGTTATTTTCTTCACGTTCGTACGGGGTTCGTGTGGATTTGGAGTGAATAATGACGACACTACCTGATGAAATATCGAAACACACTTTATTTAGCCAATATTAATCAGGGCAGCTCCAAAATCACGTTTTACAGTCGTCGAAGATCTACTATACACTCGCTGGAACAATCAGCGACACAGCCTTCAGGTTATCAGGCTATCACGGTGGAGACAGCTTCACTGCAAAGCACCAGAGTACAGCTCCCGACTCTGCTCGGTCGTTCTCGGAACTCCACGTACTCTCGAGACTCTCCACTCTACAACTCGCGATGCACTCCACGACACACGAGCACAGCTCCCAACTCTTCGGTTCAGTCGTTCCCGGAGCTCAACACACTCTCTCGACGATGCACTAACCCCGATACACGAAGAGACTCTTTCGGTGCACTCGACGACCAATTCAGCGCTAGACTTCGAGACACTCGATCAATGATTGACTATCAGCTCGCTAGACGAGGCACACTCACACTGACTGTGGGCCAGCAGGGTTTATATAGCTTTCGGCTTGTTTCGAGAACATTCTGGGCTAAACCGGTAAAAATTCGTTCCAGAAGGTTCTCCATCCGTCTATGGTATATCAATTTTGTCGCCAAATGTGGCAACCCTGCCTTCCCTTCTTATTTTATGGCAACCCTAAAACTGCCTTGCGGGGAAGCTATCTTACCGCGCCTGTACAATTCGTAACAATAGCATCAATCAAAAAGTTTTCTCGAGATGCTTGGCGGTAGAGGAAGAGAGGTCAAACTCCTCCAATCGGCCTCCTTCCATGAGGTTTCTCCTTCAGAAATTAAGACGGAGCTTCTCTTTACTCAAGGGTTCTCAACTGTCTTACCTTTATTTATTAAATATCATGCTCTTCGCACTTAAACCATAAAATTTAATTCAACAGCAATACCGCTAATTAATTTTAAAATGAGCCTATCTTTAGAATTTCCGATACACAATGTCGCGCGCTGGAGATAATTTTTTGCCGTGTAGTTTTGCCATTGCTCGTTTCGAAATCGTGAAGTTTCTTAATCAAAAATTCGTTAAAGTGTTACAAAATATGAAATCGCTAATAAAAAAATTCCAGATTTGGGTTTCCAGATACCCATATTGGGAGGAGGATTAGTTATTTAAAATTTGTTTTCTAAACAATTTGATTGCTGTTTTATCACAATGCGAGAAACATACATACATTTATGCAGATTCTTTATTATTTAATTTCTTTTAAATATAATACAGGGCTGTAATACTTGGTGGCAACAGTTTGAAAAGTGAATCAACGCAGAAAGTGAATTGACGCAAAATTCCAAAACATTTCGTTAAGCAAAGTTCTTCTCATGTTATATATTCCAAATTGCTTTCAGATGTTCTAGTCAATGCAAAATTATTATTAATAGTGTTGAGATCTACCGTATCTTTAATATTTTTAAAATAACAAGTTCAGATAAGCAGAAAGAAGTTAATAATTTATTAGGAAGATAGACACAGTAAATACCATGGACAGCACAATAAGGCTAGAAATAACTTAAAGAGAACGGGAATGTTTAGTAGTTCCTCCTTAGCACACGAAATAAATAGTAAAGTTCCTCAAATCACGCTCAGAGTAAACCCTAACTCCTAGTTCAGGGTAACAGCTAAGTCTCTCAGCTGATTCGTAACTGCACTTTTAGCTTAACAGAAATACGTAACATTGAACAATTTCAAATGCAGTACATTAGCCTAACGACTCACAGAATAATTTAATGCGTAGGAAAGGCTCTGGTTTGTAAAAAACCGGCGAGACAAAGCCGTATGGCTAGAACAAAACACAACGCCACATAATCAAATCGCTGATAATCGCGGCAGAACGTGGCCTGGGTATAGGGTTTCCGCCGATAACATCGCGGACGAAAACGTCGCAGAGAAAACAACGTAAGGCGAAAACGTCGTGCTACTAAACATCGTATGAGAAAACATCGCAGTTCTAAAACATCGTGGTACAAAACATCGTCGTCGAAAATAGAGCGGTTCAAAATCTTCGCAGTTTAAAAACACCGTCGTCGAAAATATCGTGGTAAAAAATAAAGTATCTACAAATCATCGCGTGACGATAACATCGCAGACATGCCTTTTTCAGACTTTAATAACTGAAAATAGATATTCCCATAATAATTTGTGAGCACAAGATAGAAAGGAGGATAATTTGCTTTTCATATTTATATTAACTAATAATTTTTTGCTGAGAAAATAAGAAGGAAACTTAAGCATAGAAAATTAATGCACCTTATAACACTTAATAGAATTTTAACCCGACATAGTTAACTAACAAAGACCATAATTAAATCATTTTTTATAAAGTTTTTACTGGTAATTTTTCATAAAAAGTATAATCTGTAAGTTGCATTTAATTTTCTATGCTTAAGTTTCCTTCTTACTTTTTCAGCAAAAGTTTATTTAGACTAGAAGAGAAACACGCTAATGTGACAATCAAAACCGTGAAAAACAACCTTATATTTAGCGTAGGTATAATGAAACACTCAATCGATTTCGAGGGCAGCTAAAGGTCCCTCCTCATCGGGAGAAAGAAATACATAGAAAGAAGAAAATAGGAATCACAGAAACACGTGGTGCTTATCAGCACTGCACGTCGTTATAACTAGATTTTTAATCTAGTTATAACGACGTGCTCGAAATCGAAATCGATTGAGTGTTTCATTATACCTACGCTAAATATAAGGTTGTTTTTCACGGTTTTGAAAAGTTTATTTGTTAATAAAAAAAAATGTGAAAGTAAAAATTATCCTTCTTTCTATCTTGCGCTCACAAATCATTATGGGAATATCTATTTGCAGTTATTAAAATCTGAAAAAAGCATGTCTGCGATGTTATCGTCACGTATTTGTAGATACTTTATTTTTTACCACGATATTTTCGACGACGGTGTTTTTAAACTGCGAAGTTTTTGAACCGCTTTATTTTCGACGACGATGTTTTGTACCACGATGTTTTAGAACTGCGATGTGTTCTCTTTGCGATGTTTTCTCCCACGATGTTTTGTAGCACGACGTTTTCGCCTTGCGTTGTTTTCTCTGCGACGTTTTCGTCCGCGATGTTTTTGCCACGATGTTTTCGGCTGTAACCGGGTATAGGCAGACTCGTTCTAACACTAACTTCCGAAACTCTTGCTTAGCTCTTCTTTCTACCTTAATCTGAAAAATGCTGCTATCTCATTTACATTCTGGCATGAAAAGCGAAAAGAAAAGAATAGAGGGAAAAGAGAATAATAGCAAAGTAGTCAAACTTAAAATGAACTACTAGTTAAAATTAAATAGATAAACCTCACATATTCTTCTGCTGAGTTTGAAAATAAAACCGTACGTGAACTAGCTCCATATATGAATACTAACAATTTTCATAGTATTATGACTGAAACTTACAAATTATCTTCAGTCATTCTATCAGTACCAGCTTCAACTGCATCACTAGAATCATCATTTTCAGCACTGAGAAGAGTTAATAATTATATATCAGAGTATCGCATTTGCAAGAGAGATTAAGTGCACTTAGCAATATTCTCTATCGATAAACTGCATCTTGAGAGAGTAAAAACATTGCCTACATTGTATGAGTACGTTATAAAGAAATTTACTGTACGAAATAAAAGAGCAGAATTCACTTTCAAATAATTTTAATTCTGATGAGTACCATCTAAGCGTTATTTCTGAACTTTTGATTGTAGCTTATGGCTTCAGGTCTGTACTGTTATTTCTGTAAACGAAATAATATATGTGTCTTTAATGCAAATTGTTTATAAATATTATTAAATTTTATAATATTCAAAAGACGGGAAAACTGGTGAGTTTTGAACTTTTATTATTTTATTTATATATTGCGAGGTTTATCTATTTATTCTTAACTAATAGTTCATTTTAAGTTGAAAGACTTTCCTATCACCCTCTTTTCACCCACGCTTGTCATGCCCGTATGTAAATGAGACAGTGAGCGTTTATTCAGATTAAGGTAGATAAATATGCTGTTTAACCCTTTGCGGCACAGTGTGTCCGGTCTGGACACACCTAAAAATTTCCTTCTGTACGCACAGAAAAATTGAATGAAAAAGCATTTATAGGTTACTCTGAACCTTCTTTATTTATAGTAGATGGCAGCTCAAAACAAAGTCCATATATTTTAGCCATGTTTAGTTTTTTAAGACCCTCATTTTTCAAAGAAATCTTCCAGATTTTTTTAAGGTATAAAAGCAATTGTTTTAAAAGAAATTAATTCCTATGCTATTTTTTGGCTGTATGCTAATCTCCTTAGTCTATATTATTTTTAAATTTTTACCTTGAAATCTTGCCTAAAATCAAACGGCGAACCCTAAGTGTGCCCAGACCGGGCTCACCGATCATCTAGGACAACTGAGAGTCTGTATTCTTTGTTTCTCCGCATCTCATCGGTCAGTTCATTGACAACAATGCTCGTTTCAGCACTCTTTTCGAAGCTGTATTCAATCAGTGTGACATTTTTCGCACACCCACAGAATTAAAACGATAAGAAAAATTCACACAAATTTTACTTGAGTACTCCTCTAGGCCTAATTAGACTGCCTACCATTTTTTTTTTTAAATCCAAACTCCGACTTTAAAAGGTAGCATGCAGGAAAAGAATTAAGCAAGAGTTTCGGAAAGTTAGTTTTAGAGTGTGTCTCTTTATTCCAGGCTACGTTCTGCCGTGATTATTAGCGACTTGATTTAGTGGCGTTGAGTGTTTCTAGCCATTCGGCTTTGTCTTGCCGGTTTTCTAAAAACCAGAGTCTTGAATGCGCCTTAAATTATCTTGTGTATTATCTTGAATTATCCCTACATCTCGAATTTATTCATCCTTACGCATTTCTGTTAAACCAGAAGTGCTCGGCTTGTAGGAACCCAATCTGAGTAAATTGTTAATTGTGTTCGAATAAAATTGTCTTATACACCCTTTTTTCTGACTTATATTTTGTTTCTCAAGGTTAGAAGATAATTCTTCAATAGTCCTTTTTAAAGTATATAGTATAAATCTCTAAGAGACATAGACTATGCATAACAACTAAAAATTGTATATGCTTAATGTTAATCCCATTCATTAAAAACGTGTTTCTTAAGACGTTCAGCTCCATGCGTATGTTTTGGGCAATCCCGTTCTGGCCACGCGCGCAGCTTAAAAGCGCTGGTATTGTAGGGCCAGTGATTGGTATCACGGTCGAAGATAGCTACAAGTTGTGAAAAAGAAGACATTCCATCGACCCAAAATGTAAGAATATCTAAAAAACGACAACATAAACTCCGAAGAAAACCGGGAAAAGCCTCTGAAGTACGAAAATATTGTAAATTATGTTATGATAAAAATGCAACAGCAGCTGGTAGAGTAATGGCCAGAAAAAAGACTGAAAGAGTTTTGTCACATTTTGTAATAGCTATAATAGAGAACCGTTTTTATATTTACCGTGTTTCAATGAAATCCAATGAATCAAAATCAAATCATGAATCAAAATTAAGCAAATTTTAAATAAATTTTGTATAATTTCATAAAACAGTGTAAATTTTACAGTTATATATCCTGTTACACGCTGTCAGCCAGCGGCGGTCGACGCGGCCTAAACGAAAAGGTCTAGTGTCAGCCACAAATGGCTGACGCGACCTAAACGGAAAGTTTAGTGCAGCCACAGATGGCTGACGCGGCCTAAACGGAAAAATCTACGCGGCCTAAACGGAAAAATTAGTGTCAGCCACAAATGGCTGACGTGGCGCTCAACGTGTTAAAACTTATTTTAATAAATTTTGTGTAATTTCATAAAACAATGTAAATTTTATAGTTATATATCATGTTATCATGTCTTATAGTTATATATCACGTTCAGCGGCGGTCGATGCGGCCTAAACGGAAAGGTCTAGTGTCAGCCACAAATGTTTGACGCGACCTAAACGGAAGGTTTACTGCAGCCACAGATGGCTGACGCGGCCTAAACGGAAAATCTAGTGTCAGCCAAGGATAGCTGACGCGGCCTATAGGCCTATACGGAAAATCTAGTGTCAGCCATAGATGGCTGACGTGGCGCTCAACGTGTTAAACTTCATGTTTAAGACATGATAAGCATACTAATACTAACACTACATTATAAGATAGCTTCATTTCTATTTCCTTGTAACTTAAATCTCACTCCGCTTTTATTATTGTTACTGCTACTCTTTAGGCCTCTAATTATCCATCAATAATTACAGAAGGGAAATGTACAGCCGACACGGCGAAATTGTAGACCTTCGTGTCCGATGGGCCGGTTCATGTATTTGGTTAGCATAATGTTCAACTATTTTAATTTTCAGAACCTGGCGCTAAGCTGCTAGAGAGGGAAATATGGGGGGGGGGGAGAATAACCACAATAACATTCCATAAAATTTTTAAAAATAAAACAAATGCTTTGAAATCAAAACAAAAGGAATGAAAGCCTTGTAATATTAAATACATGAAAACATTTACCGTATGTCCCGCTAAGAACTGCAGTCCAATAAAAAATGAAAATCATTACACTCAAAACTGCTTTGAAAAGTTGTGTGTCTCTAAACGAGATGACATGAAAAAATAAAATGAGTGTATTAAGATGGTTCGAAACATCACAGATTACAAAACAGGAAATATTCCAACAAACAAGCTTCCTTCCTCACAATATCGGAACCTCCCTTTCTGGTCAGGAAATCTGGCAATTAATTGGCTCGTCTCACCGTTCAAAACGGTAACTTTTCCCTAAAATATGTTTTAGCTCAAACAGCGTTAGCCCAGAAGGGCTATTAATTTCGTTTTGAAATTTTGCTTCGATTCACTTTCTGCGTTGATTCACTTTTCACACTGTTGCCACCAACTATTAGATCCCTGTATTATATTAAAAGAAATTAAATAATGAAGAATCTATACAAATGTATACATGTTACTCGCATTGTGATAAAACAACGGTACCTAGAGCTGTCAAATCTTGAATAAGTAATCCTGGAATTTGTTTTATTTGCTATTTTATATTTTGTCAAACATTAAAGAATTTTTTATTAAGAAACTCAACGATTTCAAAGCAAGGAATCAACTCTGTTTAAAAAAAAAAAAAAAAAAAAGAAAAGAAAGAAAGAAAAAGAAAAAAAAAAAAAAAAAAAAGAAAATCTGAAATTTTTCAGATTTTAAATTACGTCCAAAGGGGCGTTTTTTTAACGTTTTGAGTGTTACCTTTATTTATTAAATATCATGTTCTTTGCACTTATTAAATATCATGTTTTTGCATAAAATTCAGTTCAAGAGCAATATCGCAAAATAATGTTAAATTAAGCATATCTTTAGAATTTCCGATATACACAGTCTCGCGAGCTGGAGATAAAAGTATTTTTTTTCTATATAACGTTGCCATTTCTCGCTTTTAAAGCATTGAGTTTGTAAATCAAATATTCGTTAAAGTTTTACAAAATATAAAATCTATAATAAAACAAATTCCAAATTTGGGATTTCAGATGCCCATATTCGCAGTAGGATTTCGTCATTCAAAATTCGATGGCTCTATGTACCATTGTTTTATCACAATGCGAGAAATAGACAATCATTTATGCAGATTTTTCATTATTTAATTTCTTCAAATATAATGCAGGACTCTAACATTTTGTGGCAACAGTTTGAAAAGTGAACCGACGTTTATGAGTCCGACGCAAAATGCCAAAACGAAAGCAATAGTCCTTCGGGACTGAAATCCCTTTGGACTAAAAAAAAAAAAAAAAAAAAAAACACTGTTAGGGGGAATTTTTTTTTTTTTTTTTTTTTTTTTTTTTTTTTTTTATGTACATCGCGCAAGACTGTGCATCGGAAATTCTAAAGATGTGCTCATTTTAAAATTATTTTGAGATTTTGTGGATAACTGAAATTTATGGTTTAAGTGCGAAGAACATGATATTTAATAAATAAAGGTAACACACAAAACGTTAAAAAAACGCCCCTTTTGGCGTAATGTAAAATTTTAACGCTTTCAGACATTTTTAGGATTTTTTATATTATAATTATTTTTAAGTATAATATTTGCCTTTGAGAAAGTAAAAGTTTGAAGCAAGAAATTCTTTGCTAAGCACTGTGTAAACTATTTTCCTATGTCGGAGAATGTAAAATATGACAAAGAAATGTCTTTTATTAATTATGGATTCGCTAACTATTAAATCATACAGATTTAAAGCGTTGTAAATTACGCAATTAGACAAAAGAAAGATATAAATTGTCGAATATGTTTTCTAAGTCAAACGTCAAGACAAGCAGATACATTGATGTTTCAACAATCTACTTCCATGTTTATTTAATATTTTCATACAATATAATAATAATTATATAAGAGCCATTACAGAAGAGAATCTGGCCAAATCTGCTGTATTTATAAAACGTAATTCAGTTGGGTGTTCTTTTCAGATTCACGTATTAAGTATAGGAAAGTACTGTTAGTTCGAACAAAGCTAAATGAAATTTCAATAGTACTTTAAAAATACTTTACCCTTCTTTTTTGCCAATAGAATGTTAATTCTGAAGTACAAGTCACTGAAGATACATAAATGTTATTGAACAAAAGCATAAAATCATCACATATTTCCGAAAAAAAGCGCAACTTTCAAAACTAATTTTACTGACATATGTGCATTTAAATTGAATAGAAAGGTAATTACTGTCTGTTAATATCCCCACAGAACCATAATACCGGAAGGAAGCTAAATGCTGGTATTATAAGCTCTTCTTTTGGTATTTTTCCAGCGAGAATTGCCAATTCTGCACAATCATGTAAGCACAGCAATGTGTAAAGCCGTACTTTCTTATCGCTATTTTTCACTTCTTCGTTGTATGTTGTCACTTGATCTCTTTGTCGAAATCTTGATACGCCTGCAATACCTTTGAATCTTCTTAATCTTTATTTACAAATTCTTAAATGGTAGTTGTATTCAAGATGTGGGTATAAACGAAAATTGATATTGTTGCGTTTTTTTTTTCCCCTGACACTAGTTATCACGTTATTCACGTTATTCACGTTATCACGTTATTCACGTTATTCGTTACCAGTTACCAGTTATCACGTTCTTACGGGGTTTGTATGGATTTGGAGTGAATAACGACGACACTTGATGAAGTATCGAAACACACTTTATTGGCCAGTATTGTCAGGACAGCTCCAAAACACGTTTTTATAGTCGTCGATGTCGATGAACTACTATAAACACGCTGACACGATCAACGACACAGCCTCCAGATTATCAGGCTATCACAGTGGAGACAGCTTCACAGCAAAGCACTCCCGACTCTGCTCGGTCGTTCTCGGAACTCCAGGTACTCTCGAGACTCTCCACTCTACAACTTGCGATGCATTCGACGACACACAAAGCACAGCTCCCGACTCTTCGGTTCAGTTGTTCTTGGAGCTCAAAACGCTCTCTCGACGATGCACTAACCGCGATACACTACAAGACTCTTTCGGTGGACTCGACGGCAAACTCGGCACTCGCTGCCAAGCTGTCAACTCGATCGACTCCGCGCGGACTGAGTAACTCGAGACTAACTATCTCGCACACTAGACGAGGCACTCCTTATAACTGACTGCGGACCAGCAGGGTTTATATAGCTTTCGGCTTGTGTTCGAGAACATTCTGAACTAAACTGGTAAGAATTCGTTCCAGAAGGTTTTCCAACCGTCCATGGGTATATCGCCAGTTTTGTCGCCAAATGGGCGATTTCTCTCCAAATGTGGCAACCCTGTCTTCCTTTGCCATTTTATGGCAACCCTAAAACTTCTTTGCGGGGAAGCTATCTTACCGCGCCTTTACATTTCGTAACAATATTTTGACAATTGGAATAGAAGCGTAATTTATTTTTATTAAACACTGATAGTTAGAATTTGAATGTTTTGTAGTTTCTTGACAGAAAAAAAAACAGAAACAATCATAAGTTTCACCAATGCCCTTTCTATACCATTTTGTGTTTTCTGGCAGGGCTTACAAAAGTGGTTGTACAGTTCAATATCATTACGGGTAACATTTTTGCATTCGGTTGAAATTTTTGCATTTGGTTCTTTGAACATTCTGTCCCGTCGTCCGTGTCCAGTACTCAAATAAGTTTTCGTGAAGTATGGGAAATAATTTCGCGTCCGTGACGTAATACTGTATAGTACTGACGCTTTGAAACGCGTGTAAAGGAAAAAAAATTAATATAAGATCTGAAAGATTTCAGGCACCTTCTTCTCATATTCTTTATTTTATTTTTATATTTCTTCAAAGAATTCGAAGAGAGATTATTTCGATTGCTAAAATGTTCGATTATTTTCTTATTATTAGGCTGTTTCGATCGTAGCCTAATAACAAGAAAGAACATTGTAATTTTTCATAAATACATGTAAAATCTTTATTTATCACTAAATTGAATTCTTTCAAATGCCGGGATTGATTTCGAATGTCCAGTTGATATTGAGTCCATGTCTGATGAATAACTTTCAGGAAGATTTGATAATATATGGCCAAAAAAAATTAATGAGCTTGAAATTTTGGGAAATCCCAGCATATTTCTTGAAACTGACAACTGTAGACAATCCCTGCAGCCTTTATACACGCATAATGAAAGAGAATAAAACTTCCATCAAGAGAAGTCCTATATAGATCGTTTAAAGCCTGCTGTCGATTTCTCAAAATACATGGATCTTCATTTGCTGTGCCTTTTCGCCTTAAAAATCTATCAGAAGCCTCCCAGACGGCATACTGGTTAGGGAAGCCTACCGCGGTACTGAAGACCCCGGGTTCAAATCGTGAAAAAGGCGTGGATGTTTGTAAATGTATAGTGGGACTGTGGAACGTAGTGGCAATGACCAGCATGTAGTCATTTCTACTTTAACCGGTTAGCATGAAAGTTTCTGCCTTAAGTCCTTGGTTTTAGTTTAAGTCTTGATTTAGAAAGCTTCACTAAAAAGCGAAATGAAAAAGTACGTAATGAGTACTCTGTTGGCCGTGGAAAAACTGAAGACTACCTCCAGTCTGTTAGGAAGACATTTGGTGAGCCCTTCGAGCTGGGAAGTAAACAGAAGCTGTGATAGGTCGAGGTACATCACGTGGGGAGTCACCCTCCCTTGGCTGACCCAGGCTATAGCAACTTGATAATGATGTTAACCCTTTGCAGCACAGTGTATCCGGTCTGGACACACCTAAAAATGTCCTTCTGTACGCACAGAAAAATTGAATGAAGAAAGATTTATAGGTTACTATAGGTTACTCCGAACCTTCTTTATTTATAGTAGATGGCAGCTCAACACAAACCAGTCCGTATATTTTAGACATGTTTAGTTTTTTAAAGCAAACTTTCAGATTTTTTTAGGGTATAATAGGAATTGTTTGAAAAGAAATTTCTATGTTATTTTTTCAGCTGTATGCTAATCTCCTTATTCTATATGAATTTTAAAATTTTACCTTTAAATCTTGCCTAAAATCGAACGGCGAATCCTAGGTGTGCCCAGACCGGGCTCACCGATCGTCTAGGATAACTGAGAGGCTGTATTCTTTGTTTTTCCGCATCTCATCGGTGTGTTTATTGACAACAATGC